ATCATTAATAAACATATATTGATTGTTATATTGGATATGGTAAATGGCCTGTTTTTGTATAGCGCCTTCTAGGGATCTACAACACCCCAAGGCGCTTTAAAACACAACCACTCAATGTAGCCACAGCTTCTCTGGGGCACACTGATGGAGGCGAGGCTGCCGATAACGCTGGCGCCATCGTTCCCTCCGACCCCTACCAGCAGGCAAGGCAGGGGAATTGTCTTCAATAATGTGACAGATTGAGGAGGGCTCAAACCTGCAACTCTCTAGTTACAGGGCAGAAGCTAAACCCCTCTGCCACCATTGCCCCAATATGTATTTATAAGGACAATACTTGCATTTGTCTTGCTTTCTTTGCTAATGAAGCTTGTTACATTTCATTAGAAGTTTGATTCTGGAGGATCACCAATTACAGAAACCCTTTTTACCCTTCCCCCTACGTCACAAACAGTTAGACAATTTTTCTATGACTGGATGTCATCGACTTTTGTAATTACCTTAACTAGGATCATAAAACTAAAGTTGAAGCCAAAGTAAACTGTCCCCTAGTGGCTGGCTGCTGTTGGAGTTTGAAGTCACATTGCTGTATGTTCAGATGTTAATTGGCATAATCTGTTCTATGTCTAATTAGTAGGGTTTGAAAGTCACTGGCTCTGAACACGGAAAATCGGGAGCCCAAGTCATTCCCATCTACTTCCGGTCAACGGGCTATGCTTGGGGAGAAGAGATTCTGCTGTGATGTCATGTATGCGACTACTGATTTGTAGTCATTTAAATTCAGAATTATTAGAAGCAAATAAATCTCTAATTACACGACAGACATAGTAGAAATACACATAATTATGTATCATTTAAATTGGAGTAAACATATGTGGTTCAGGTGTAAGACAAAGTGGACTAGAAAATAACATTTCTTGTTCACTTAAATTCATCATTCAGGGGACTTTGTGGATATATTCTCACTGTCGCCCTCTCAAGGCTTGCTGTGTAACATCACTGTCGTAAAATCAAATCTCTGTCGCATATAAAAGGCATGTTTACTGGCTGCTTTCCAACTCGTATGCCCCAACAACACATTAAGCAGTGTTTCAGCATTGAATAAAGTTTTATAAATACTTTATACCCACCCAAACACAATAAGCTATTATTTACCCATCCATTAGCACCACGGCTAAGTCAGAGTCCTTCTGTTCCTAGATTCCTCTGATAAGGGACTTCCAGCTTTTTTTGGTGAACCTGCCTTTGCTCAAGTCTCGAAACCACGGGTCTACCACAGACACATACAATATATACATAGACGCCTGTGGACTGGCACTGCCATAGTGGCTGGTTACCATTTTAGATGGGTCTCCATTTACCCCCAGTGCATTCATTTCTACTGAGGAAGGTGCTACCCAACTAAAATCACATTTGATTTTTCACAAAATATAACACAAGGTATGGAGAGTAAGGAGACCCATCCAATATGGCGGCGACGCTGTTACGCTCTCCAGCGCCAACAGGGCGTCTATGGATTCATGACTACGAGGTCCACGTGATACTGTCGTGAAGCAACACGCAGTTAGTACCTCCGGCGGCAGACCGAAAAACATACGGTATGGTGCGATAAACAGTACTTTTACTTTCCTGTCTCCTGTTTAAAATTTCACTTAAAAGCAAACACACATTTTAACAGGCTGTCATTTAATCAGTTTTATCCTTTTTGTTTGGTGTTATGGTTTGGAAATCAGTTGGTTAAAAATATAAGCAGCCTGAGTCAAATAGTGAACTGGTCCCGAAAAGCCGGGCACACACTGTGTGACTTTTTCACCTTTTTGATTTGATTTCCCCCTCGTGCGAAAATCTACAAGATCGGGGCGAGTTTTGCGCTGAGCGTCATGTAGCATACAGGGGGTTACGACATCACGTGACCAGCTACCAATCAGCAATTGTGAGCTTGCATGATTTCTGGCGTGTTTGATATTTTGCTCGTCCCTCGTGCGTGCTGTGAGCCACTTTACGGTTTTTGGGCCTTAAGAAGGGCTGCCTGGTCGATGCAATAGGATAGATCAGAGTTAATCTAAACTGCATTCATAATAAACATATTCTAAAGTTTTATTTATAAAGGAAATTGTAGTTTTTAAATCCATATTAATGCATATGTGATTATAAAAGGTGTTGGCAGAAGTGTTTTAATGCTATATTAGACTTGTGCTATTTGGAGAAAAGGCCAGTGCCCACCTTATGTGGTTCCTGGGGGCACCAGGTTGGTGACCCCTGTTCTACGTTATGAGTTCCAGCTTTCTACATCTGGACACAGATATAGAATGCCACAGTGTATAACTAAACAAGTTAGAACTGTCACAACCCTCCTAAATAAGTTTTAGCCCTTACGTTGTGATTTTGTTTGTTCATTTTAAATGTCCGTGATGTTTCACGTTATGCGCCTTGCATAATGCAAAGCAAGCTTACCTTCAGGTACGAATGAAGTCTTTGATTTGGTTGGTTGGTTGATTGGGGTGATGATCAGTTAATCAGTCAGTCAGTCCTAATGAACCCTACATTAGATACAATTACATTATACCGGAGTTCTTGCTACATATAGATTAAGTTTTTGCATATTTTCTGAGCATGCAGTTCTTTTAAATGTATAGAAATTTCTGTAGAACATTATGGGCAGAATTTGCCATTTAAACAGGCATTAACATAAAGGAAGAGTGTTTGTCTGCTCCTATGTTGATTAAAGCATTAGAAACATGACAAATATCACGTTACTGTACTTTTGTAATTTGCTGTTAATTGTAAGCTAGCAATGGAACTCAAGCTTAATCACAACTTCACCTTTTAATTGATTGATTGATTGGCATCCCTTGTAATGAGTTGTACACACATTTAGATCCACATCCTGAGTGCATAGATGCTCGCACCAGTCTTCCTTCTTCATTTGGGTTGATGCTTGGTGACAGGGCGCATGACCAAGGACAAGAGCTGAAATGAGTCTTCATCACCTTTTTAAAAAAGCTTTTCTGACTTTTGTCTACTCAAGAACAACCTTGTTTTCTTCCAACACTAATGGTTGCCAGCATCAGGATGAATCTCATGATACATTTTAGGTGTCCGTCTCCTCAGAGGCTTCATAGTGGCGGATGTTACAGAAAAAGCCAAATAGATAAGAAGCAGGAATTATGTCCTTTTGTTTCCATGTTGAGGCAGATCGATGGCCCAGATAGCCAGCTGTGTGTGTGTGTGTGTGTGTGTGTGTGTGTGTGTGTGTGTGTGTGTGTGTGTGTGTGTGTGTGTGTGTGTGTGTGTGTGTGTGTGTGTGTGTGTGTGTGTGTGTGTGTGTGTGTGTGTGTGTGTGTGTGTGCTTACACAAGGGCATCCAGTCAGAACTTTATGGCCCAGCGGATATACGAGCTGGGATGACTGAAGTTGTTAAAACAAATGAAAGAGAGACAGAAAAGTGGATGCAGGATCACCTCCGGTTGGCTCATCGTACTTTGTGCCTATGTGCCCATGCTTGGCCGCGCATTGTTGCAGCACCGTTGTTATTATTGTAATTATATATCATTATTCCGGCTAAAGCAGAAAGATAGTTTCCAGTGATGACATGGGGGCAGCGTGCAGGGCCTGTTGCGTCTCGTGGGATGGAGAAACGCCAGCCTGCTAGATGGGGGTCTGATCTGCCTGAACGAACATTCACACATGTAAACCTGAGTTTGAAGCGTTTGTTCTGGCACGTGGTTTCAATCCTAGGGGTAGCATTTTTCTGTCGTTTTAAAGCACTTTGACGTTTCTAATGTTTGGAGTTTGTGATTGAAACAAAGAGAACTGGGGGTGACCTGTGGCCACCAGACACCCGCTGGTTCATCCTCTCCCTCTGCTCTTCCTTGACCTTCGACCTTGGGGTGAGAAGGGGGCGTGAGCCAGGAGCTGGAGGAGTTTATTATTTCCTGCCTTGTCTCTCCTCGCCCCCTGACAGCACAACGGTGAGAGTGAGACATGAGCATAGCAGTGAAGGTTATTTTTCTCCTGACGTGTGGAATGATCTGGAGCAACCTGCAGAATTTTACCATTAAAGTAGTTCGCAGCATAATTGAAGGGTTTGACAGACTAATGCTGGTGTCTACGAGAAATATGGAGCTTATTTTGTGGAAGGTGCACATGCTGCACCTTCATGCAACAAAACAGGTGTTTCAGAGTGATTAACTTTGGTTTTTATGCAGCTAAGCTGCCTTTGGTTGTGGAAAATCCCTGAAAGTTTGGTATTGAAAGGTGAAAACCACCTAACAACAAGAATCTGTGTTAACTGTAACTTTTGCTGACAGCAGACATTGAGTAGGAGTTGAGATTTTTTGTGCTAGCTGCCCTTCAGCCGTGAGAGGAGGCTAACCAAACTGACCTGCTTGATTGTTACGTTTCTGAAACAACTTTTAGAGTTAAAGAATGAGGGTTAGAAACTTGTTCACCTTCTGCGATCCCACCCAGGCATCGTGCTTTTTATCTGACCCACCCTTCAGCCTCCGTTGGCCCTTCCACTAATGTCTGCGAGCCACCAGAGCGCCAGTGTGAATATCACAGCTGGACGGCCATTGTTTCTCCAGCCTCGGGCTCCAGGCGATCCTGGGATCAAAGCTTGCCTGGATTACTCTCAGTAAAAGGAGGAGGAGGTGCAGCATTCAGAGGGGGAGTTGAAAAGGATAGAGGAATGCTCCTAATTATGTGCCCTCCACTCCTTTTCTGTCATCTCTTGTCTGCCCGTGCGTCTGGCCTGCTCTTCAGACTACAGTGAACCTATGAGGAGGCATCGCCGTGTGACAGGGGAGTGATGCCAGCGTTTTCGTTGCCACTCCATTAGTTGACCAGAAGGTGAAACTGGGAATTCAGCTTCTGTAGAAGCTCTGAAGAAGAAACCATTGGGATGAAGGAGACGATTTGAAGGATCAGTACTGAGCCTCCTGTTTGTTAATGTATTTCTGCTCCTGCAGCAATGTTGATGTTCCGTTGTCTGTGTGTTTCAGGTTTTCTAAACAAACAGGGATTTACGCTTCTGGCAACACGGCTGCTGGTAGGGGTCAAAGGGCACCATGGACAGTGGCCTAAGGGTCCTCCTGTCCACTGTGCTGTGTCTCAGCCAGTCGCTGCTCATCAGCTGCTCGTGTAAGTTCTTCTCAACTCAAACTTTCCTGCAGATACAGTCAACGTCACTAATCAGGCAGTGCTTCAACACTTTATCTTCTGCATTTGCTTCTGATAGACACGATAGGATTTGAAAAGCCTTACAAATCACACTGTCACTTAACATTCATGGACTCGCCCATCTTGGCTTGTGACGGGGAACGCTGTTGTTGGTTTAGCGTCCAGAAAACAGGAGTGAACGTCTAGGCTAGTAGGAGTTAAATGTTAGCATTAGCAACTTCATCACACGGCAGAACTTCTACAGGGTTATGTTATTTTTGGAGATAAAACATCAGCATTGCAGAGCAAAGAGGGTCAGTGGTAGAGTCATGCTGCTTTTAGCCAATCAGGGGAGAGATGTCTAAAAATCTAGTTCCTGAAACAGGCACACTGGAGCTTTTAGTCCCCCGAGTACGACTTAAAAGGCATTCATTCCTACTATAGACTACTGCAGATGCATTAAAATATAAGTAAAGATGAAAATGTTTATCTGTTAACTGCCTTATAAACACTGGAAAAGGTTATTTTAGCTATGTGGTTTAAGCTAGCTACCAAAGGCTTATATCAGAGTCAGGTAAAAAAAATTATTATTGTCATTATTATTTCAACTAATTTTTCACAATATACCAGCTCAGAAACAGAATAAACAGTTATTTTTTTATATAAAACAACTGTTTCATAATATACAGTAATTATATGATACATGATGAAAGGATGAAGTAAAATTCAAATCAACTCACAGACCAAACAGCACATTATTTAGATTATATATATGAAAGGTATAATAACGCAAATGAACAGTTTTTTTATTTTTTAATGAAGAGGAGGAATTGTAGCTAGCATAATGCTCGCTACCTGCTGCTAACCTTTAGCTTAGCCACCACTCCTGAAATATGACATTAATTTAGCTTTTGGGGGTTTCCTCAAAGTATTATGTTCCCCTCTGTAGAATGAAAAATATTAAATTATTAGAAAATTATTTTAATTTGAAGTGATGATGATTTAGAACCATGATAGATCGTAGCATTAGCAGCTAACATGCTGTTAGGATTACCCAGGTAGTTAGCTCAATCTCTGCCTGTGGATTTCTTCCAATGTTCTGCTCTTCTTCAAAACAGTTCCTGGAGACATTCAGAGGCTTTTTTCAAACGTAGGACAGAAAGTTGGAGAATGTCATGAAACTTAATTGTCAGAATTATGTAACAAAATGGTTTCCACATGTCAGAAACATGCCTTAAACAATCAGAGCCATGGTAGCTATGTTTATCTTTTTACATAATATTACATCAACTTTTGTAGCTGTGAGGTTTTTAAGACCACATTCATAATGTGCTCTGTTAGTTTTAGTTGTAAATGTAGCTTATAAATGACTAAAAGACACAAGATTCCTGCGCAAGAACATTGATTTTCAAAGTTGTTCAGCGAGAGATTTATTAAGCATTAATTTGCATAAAATCAATAGCATAAAATACACCAAGTAGTTGGTTATTTATGATGTAAATAAAAGGTGCCAAGATTTTAATAAGCATTCTTGTCTCCTGTTGGATAATAGATTAGCTTATTTGATCGTACAACCTCATCATCTTTTATATAACTTAAAATATTTTAACTTGTGCAAAACAATTTTCCACTTTTACAGCAATCTCGCTTAAAATGTGTAAAAAAATTCTCTATGTTAGAAAGTTGCAAGCTATTAGCTTTGCTGTTTTAGCAACCTGCTCCATGCAATTACTGGTAATTGGGTGGCAGAAATCCTAAAACTTATCTTTCCTTTTGCAAATTTAAACATTGATTTTAATTAGGTTTTAGTTCCTCTGAGCCACATCAGAGGGCTGGAAGGTCTACATTTGGCTTCAGAACCGCATGTTGCAGATGAGACACGTAAAACAAGCAAATGTGCTACAATTCAGTTAGTTGGTTCGTAATTCTGAAGTTTGTCTCTCTCCCGTTTTCTCTCCAGTTCAGTATCCCTCTTTTCTCTCTGAGCCAACCTCTGTGGTCCAGAGTACAGGTTCTGTGGCTCATCTGCAATGCTCAGCGAGTCCTTCGTCCGCCGTGGTTTCCTGGCTCTTCCAAGGCCTTCCCCTGGACCAGGGCGCGCTAACTGGCGTGGAATTCAAACAGGACTCCCTTATAATCTCCAACCTTACATCCAGGCACGCTGGCGTCTATCAGTGCGTGGCACGCTCAGGCCACGGGTCGGCTGTTGTCAGCCGCCTCGCCCGTGTCGCCATAGCAGGTATGGATCCAGAGGATCACGCCTCTCTGCACACTCACACTCACTTCAAAGAGCAATGAAGAAAGAAAGGAAGTGTCCTTGAGGAGAGGAAGGCTATGTTGTGATTGTTGAACACTTAGAAAGAAGCACGGGAAGGAAGCAGTAGGAGTTTTTAACTTGGGCAGCCGTCCAGATGCTCCTCGACCGACATCCTTAATGAGCCGTGGGCTTTCCTGTGTGGAAGCGTGTCGCGTTCCTGCTGGAGCTTCACGTTAAGTGCTTGACCTTGATCTGAAGCTGAATTTCTCTTCAACAATAAAAAAAAACCCCCGCCGATGAGACGCGTTAAAGATCTAATGTCCTCCACAGAGAATTAACCCAGTTGGTCTCGCTTTTTTTTTTTTTACTCTTGCAGAAATAGCAGAATATGAAGATGTCCGACGGCAGATGTTATCGGTACAGGAAGGAAGCACGGTTCTCATAGAGTGTCCTCTGCCGCACAGCGTCCCCCCAGCTCGTCCCAGATTCAGGGTCCGAGGGGACTGGATCGAAGAATCAACAGGCACGGCCGTCTCCTTTTGGACGTAATCAGCAGAAATTGCTTTATTTTCCCCCCTGGTGAAATCTAACTGATTTTGCTTCTTCTTTCTTCTCCTTAGATAATTATTTAGTCCTTCCATCTGGAAACCTGCAGATCATCTCTGCCTCTGCGCAGCACCAGGGCATGTACAAGTGTGGAGCAGTCAACCCTGTTACTGATCAAGTAGTGGTACGGTCTCATGGCACGAAGCTGTCAGTCAAACGTGAGTTAGGCGATGTTTAAGGTGAAGATGTTTCTGAGCTTTGTGTCATCTTCCTCTAATGCTGCTTTCCACCTGTTTAGATTCAGACTCATCCTCCTCGGTCCACATAGTGTATCCCGTCGCTCCGGCGACGGTTTCCGCGGTGCTCTCCCAGCCGCTGACGCTAGAGTGCGTCGTGTCTGGGAGTCCTGCACCTGCGGCCAAGTGGTTCAAGAACGGTAAAGAGGTCAGATTTGGGCCTTCTCACCAGCGACGGCTCAACAACCTGGCTTTTGTTGGCGTGATGAGGAGCGATGAAGGACGGTACAGCTGCATGGTGGAGACAGAGCAGCGGAAGGTGATCAGCCCTGGTTACACTCTGAAAGTTCTCGGTAAGAAAAAGAAACGGACGTTTACGAGAGCGTCGTCTGGTTCAGGTGGAGACGCTAACGTTTTCCCCTCCACAGAGCCTCCTCTTGTCGAGGGCGGTCTGGGTGACCAGCTCATCTCCGTGGGCTCCTCTGCTCGTTTTACCTGCACAGCGAGAGGAAACCCCGCCCCCAGCATCACCTGGCTGTTCAACGCCAACCCAATCACCCCATCGCAACGCTTTCAGGTTTCTGGAGTCACGCTTGTCATCACGAACGTGACGTCGCAGGATGGAGGAGTGTATCAGTGTCTTCTGGACAACGAGGTCGGCTCGGCACAGTCCCACGGGATACTCCGAACCCAGCCGGGTATGTTCGTCTGAGCGTCCATCATCATCGGCCTTACGGTGGGAAAATATCTGGGATGAATATAAGACAAAAAAGTTAACATTCCAGCTTTTATCTCCAAATATTTACACCCAGATCTCGTTGTCTACCAGATCTGAGTGTAAATACCCAGAAATAAAAGATTTTTTTGTCAAATTCAGATGTTTTCTTTAGTAAAAAAAAATTTAAAAAGAGAGAAAATCAGCAAATTCTTTTGCACAGGAGTGCTGAACCAAAGGGAAGGATTTGCTTGTCGGTTTTTGGAAGGATTCTGTGTAGCATACAGATGTAAAATGTCATCAACACCAACATCAAAACTCCCAGAGAAGCTGCGTCGTTGGAATTTTAATCAGGCATTCCGGCTCTTGTTGGTTTGAGACGTGGTAGCAGATGGGATCCCTGCGGGTCTGCATGTACAGTGTCTGCAGGGTGTCCTTGCTTTGTCAGTGTGTGTGTGAGTGTGTGTGTTTGTGTGGGGTGTCCCGAGCCAAGGCCACCTTCCTCCAGAGCCTTGAACTGAGCCCGAGCGTGAGAGTGAGCTTTGTGCACGCCGTCGGGGATAAGCCCTCCGAACGCTGGAATGTAAGGAGTAGTTGTGGAGGGTTATGACGAGCACCAGACCACCCAGCTGTCAACATCGCACACAACTGCCTTTTATTTATTAACACACCTCCTCCTCCTCCTATCCGCTCCTCTGCTCCCTGGAGTCGAGGTCCCTCTCCTTAACTCACCCTGCTATCTACAGATTAATGCCGACTCACGAGGAGCAAAAGTCCCAGGAAAACATTTAGCTTGAGCATTAACCGGAATATTCTATGTAACGTTTTACCAGAAGACTTTGGATCCTTCACCTATAATCAGGGTTTGTCAAAAACGAAAACATGATTAAATGTTCAAAATCAGGAAGTGGAAAAACGTCTCGACAGCTAAAAGACATAAAAAATCCTCCGACAGGCTGAGCTCAGTCCGGACTGAGGCTCCTTGTTCCTGCTTCTAATCCTTGGTGAGTTACCGTCCGTTCCCAGGTGTGTCTCTCTTCATGGACTCACCCGTTTTTCTGGGAAGAACCTGGCAGCGCGTCCCAGTCCAGGTGTATATATAAAACCCCCTTCCTTGCCGAGGACAGGGCCTGACCCGCCTCCTTGCTCCTGGTTGAACTCTGGAGTGTTTGGGAGCGGGCTGGACGCGGTGCAGAGGTCTGATTCTCTCCGGTATTTTAATGGTCGGCATGTGGAATGTGTGGCAGCTGGCCGCGGTCCCGGGATCAGGTCTAGTGTTACCAGCTTCAGGCCTGTTTGTTTAACAAAGTGGACCGGTGCACACACCAGCAGCAGCCTGTTACACACACACACACACACACACACACACACACACACACACACACACACACACACTGCATATTCAGTTATGGTGATATTATGGATCTGAGTACGGGCCCGGTTTGCCCAGGTAGACCCGGTTCTGGTTCTGGCAAAGCTGCTGAACTCTTGTTGTTTTATGTAAATTGAAAATCTGGTTCCAAACCTGAAAACTTTCCACCCGTCCTCTAAGCCGTGTCCATCTCCTGAGGCTTGCCTCCACACAGACACACATTCATCACATGATCATTTCAAAAACGATTTATCTGTAAAAGGTCAGCAGAGGTCAACCTATATTTTCAACATTCTTAATACGATCACTAAAAGATTGTTTCAGATATTCCTGACAGTTCGATGCATGATTGACTCGTCTATGATTACCTGAAGCATCACACTTATTATTATTATTTTTTTTTAATAAACAGATCTACATCTGGGCTCTACCGCCGGTGTGCCGCTGGAGGCTTCGCCATCACTCCATCCGATTCAGAGCGACGAGAGCTTCCTGACCGACGACGACGGCGATGCTTTCAACCTACCGGCCGACCGGAGCGGCGACCGTCCCACTCCGGAGGCGCCGATCATCATCAGCTCGCCGCAGACTCACAAACCCGACGTGTACGACCTGGAGTGGAGGGCGGGCCGTGACAGCGGCAGCCCCATAAACGCCTATTTTGTCAAATATCGGAAGGTGTGGGGGGCGGATTATTTTATTGTTTTACACATTAGTTGCTTTTAATAGTGACATAAGTCTTAGAGGCTACAAAAAAAACCTGAAATAGGTGTGTGTGTGTGTGTGTGTGTGTGTGTTTGTCAGATTGATGACATGGGAACGGTGGTGGGAAACTGGCAAACGGTTAGAGTTCCAGGCAGCGAGAAAACGCTGCGTCTGTCAGAGCTCGAGCCTTCCAGCCTGTACGAGGTTCTGATGGTGGCTCGGAGTTCCGCCGGTGAGGGTCAACCGGCCATGCTGACATTCCGCACCGGAAAAGGTCGGTCCAGCGGCTAACAGCTGTTTACCTTTGTCTATACCAGCATGTCACATCATTCACAAAAGACCAGAGGAAGATGAGTGTTTCATATCAAATCACTTCTTAGCTTAAAGCGTTCAGACGGAGCATCAGGATTAGTACCTTCAGCAACAACTCTCCATATTATACGTGTCTGCTGCCCCTGGTAGGGCTGATTTTATTTCTTCATTACATAAATGTAATAAAACTGAATATAATTTAGCCATTTTATTAACATTAGTGTATAGATATGTGAATCTTTTATTATTATTTCATATTTCAGGAAATAAATAGTTAATTCTTGAATCAGAAATAATTTTTATAAATTTAAAAAAGTTTTAAAAAGTTTAATGGAACAAAAACAGGAAAAACTAGGAAGTTCAAAACCTTAAAAAAGAAAACAGCAACTAATGGAGGGATTTGAATTGAGTCTATTTAAAAGACGTCATTTTGACACTTCACAAAGTTTTCGGACACTTTCTGACTTTAAAAAACTAAGTTAAGACCGCTCTGAGACTCCTGCGATGGCTCGGATTTGTGGGGCAAAAACTCAAATTTCCATTAAATCAGAGCGACACAATTCCGAAGGAAATCCAGAATCCTCACAACCAATCGGGAACATTTTTGGGACTCGCTGTTTGCTCTTTGCCGACACAATGCCCGCATTGATCAGAAATTCAAGAAGGAATATATCAGAGATAATTCAACAAGGGCCGATTTCCAGAAAAAAATACATGTGATGCAGATTTTTGTGGTCATTTTAGTTTTATTTTCAACCACTTTCTGGTTCAAAAGCAACAGAACTTTTGTTTTCTGCTGACTAAATAATAGCAACTCTTATTGTGTGGAAAAATCATTTGCATCTGATCAAAAACGTGAGTCAGGGAACACTAAATTTGATTATTTGATCCATATCGGCACTAGTAAACAGACCAGGTTCTCATATTTGACGAAGCATAAAAATCAACATAATCACAGGTTTCAGAACCATAACAGCAGTGCAGCAACAGACGGGGCTTAGGAAAATGTTCCATGGTCAGAAATATGTCGAATGTCGCCAAAACCACATGCATCATTCTCTGCAAAGCATTTGATGTTTTCTGCTAAATGTTGCTCCCAGCATGTTTTCTGCGTCAGTGTGCAGAAAAAAGTAAAAAAAAAGTTCAAATCTGCCTTTAAAGTTTGACAGTTTTAACTCACCTGTTTTCACCAGCGTCTCTATTCTCATTAATAAAAACATTAATCGTAATGTTTAGACTCTGAGATGTCATTGGCCTCCCTTTGGTGTTTCCAAGGTTAGCAGCTGATTTGCTTCTGCTCCTGTTGTTCCAGAAAAGAACACCTCCTCCAGCAATAAGAACACTTCCAAGCCCGCCACCGTTCCCATCTCGCCCAAAGTTGTGGAGCCGTCGAGAACGAATTACGGAGTCATCCAACACGACCGAGGTAGGTGTAGACGCCACCCGGGAACTTGTTCCTGCTGCTGGACTCTGCAGACGACACTTCAGAAGAGGATTTAGTGGCTTTGTTTTGGCCGAGTTTGCACATAGTCTTT